GTGCTAGGCCCTAAGAACCTCAGAGAGACTTTTTCTAGTGATTTGACTGTCCTTAGTGACATCAGCCTGGCATCTAGCACCACTGTTAGGAATCTAGGAGTTCTATTTGATCAAGATATATCTTTTAGCTCTCACATCAGGCATGTTTCAATAACAGCATATTTTCACCTTCGTAATATATCCAAGATCAGGAATATCCTGTTGCAAAATGATGCAGAAAAACTAGTTCATGCATTTGTTACCTCCAGATTGGATTGTCTGTCAGGGTGCTCTGCCCTATACAGTCTAGAATAGAATTCAAGATCCTTCTTCTCACTTACAAAGCTCTAAATGGCCAGGCACCATCTTATCTTAAGGAGCTACTAGTGCCGTACTGTCCCTCGAGAGCGTTGCGGTCCCAGAGTGCAGGCCTGCTGGTGGTACCTACAGTCTCTAAGTGTACTATGGGGGGTAAAGCCTTCAGTTATCGGGCTCCTCTCCTCTGGAACCGCCTTCCAGCCGGGGTCCAGGAGGCAGACACAGTCTGTATTTTTAAGAATAGACTTAAAACTTTCCTTTTTGATAAATCTTATAGTTAGTGCTGGTGTAGACCAGCTCTTAGTTATGCTGCTATAGGCTTGGACTACTGGGGGAACTGGCACCTTGAGCTCCTCTCTCTCTCTGTCTCTCTCTCTCTCTCTGTGCATATACAGTACATCATATTACTGCATGTATCTATCTGTAAATCTCAGTCACTAACCACCTACTTTCCTGAGAGCTATTGAGCTCTCTTAGGCTCCTCAAGATCGTTGGTTGATGGCCTGCCAGCTGGAAAGTGACCCCCACTTTCCAGCAGCTTCTGGCAGCGTGCAAGCTGGGCCCGGAAGTCAGTCTTCATGTTGACATAGACGTCGTTCCGTCTCTTGGGAAGTTTCCTGGGAAGGCGCTTCCTAAGTGTGTACTCCACCGGGTCCATCTCTACAGGAGTAGAGGTGGACTCGACATGCGTTGGGGCTGTCTGAGGAATGGAGATTCCTGGGTTGCGAGGCTCTTTCATGTTTGTTTGTTAACGTATTTGCTAAGGCCTAAAAGGAGAAGATGAGGAAAAAAACAAAACAGATGCTGAGGAATGAGGTTATGATACATTTAACCTTTCAAAAAGCAGGTGTTTATGTTTCAGGTTGGAACTAACAATTACCATATTTTAATTCTCATAATCTACTGAACATGTTAAATAGTTTAGATAATATTTAACTAAGTAAACAGTAACACATTGCCATCTTTTGTTATCTTGCTCATTATTCCATTGCATATAGAAACGCAACATCCCCACAAGTCCTTAATGTTGAACAGGTAATTCATTATCGTACAGGGCTGAGTTTTAGCTTCAGACTCCAGATCCAGCAGTACGTCATTCAATTAACAGAAACGCTACTAAATTATTTTCAGTAGTTCTTCATTTAGTGCATTTAAAAGGTAAATTAACCCACAGATTTAATTTTGACGGGACATACCCTGGATACCTGTACTGGGGAATTCTCACTTAATCTTTTACATATCATGAACTAAACCCTCATGCATCATCATGGACATTTTTGTCCATTTGGGAAATGTTTTCCTCTTGATCTGGTCATCATTTTGCCTGTGTTACTGCATATGGCTCAGAACTTATTGATATTTTTTGCTGCATAAATCTCTTGAAAAACTTCAGTCCTGCTCAAAACTACCAAACATTCAATCAGTTTGAGGATTTTAACCCTTTAGATACCAATTTGATTACATAATGCTAATGCTATTTTATGAAAATATCCTCAAATACTCTACCTATCATATCCCTGTCACCCCAAGAGAATTTTTTATTGTAATGGATGCGATTCCCAAAGGTGTAATAATGTTGTTCAAAAGTTATACTGATCTTTGTGTGTCCCCTTGCTCATTCTCATTGAATGAAACCATGGTAGGGAAAATGTGTTTCTTATCTAGTCCTTCAACCAGGAACAAGAAGGTCAGATCACTGTTCCAGAAAGACATTGCCACTGTTCCATATGTGATCCACTACTGGAGAAGATTTGTCCCAAATATCCAGTGGGAAAAGACCTTATCCTTCAGATACTTGATCACAAACAAACCTTGTGATGTCTGTTGTAAATTGATTCATCGGTGCTATCCCACAAAACATTATTTACAAAGATTGAAAAAAGACATTGATGTTAGCTGCTTTTTTTGTGGACTTGTTAGCGAAACACCAAGACACCTGTTTTGGAGCTGTCCCTCGACTGTTGTTTTTTGGAAAAATTTGGTTGGATATATTCGAAGTACAATTCTTAAAAACTTTAATTTATTATACAAAGATGTGCTTTTTGATTTTCATGATTTCTGTAACTCGGAACTAAAACAGTACCATATTATTAATCTTTTTATGATTTTGGCTAAATTTCATATCCATAAAAGTACATTTGCGAACAGAAAACCTATTTTCAAACATTATTTTATTGAGCTGCGGCAGTACCATCCAGCACTCTGAGAAGGCCCTGAAATTAATTGGCCCTGAAGGCCCTAAAGACTCTTGAATATTGTATTTATTTTAATTGTGTGAACTGATGACCCTTTCATTTCCACCTTTCCCTGTCATGATTCGATCTTATTTAGTTTTGTATTTCAGCGTTTAGGTTTCCATGTTTTAATTTCTCCTGTTTATCCTAGTGTTGCTTGTTTCCCTTGTGTGTTTTTGTCCTAATGTTTCATAGTTTAGTCTTTAGTGTTTCGTGTGTCATTTCGTAATTTCAAATCCTTGTGTCCCTCTCTGTTCTAGTGTGTCTTAATGTTTAATAGTGTTTCAGTGGTTCATGTATTTATGTAGTTGTGTTTCCCTCCAGTGTTGATTACCCTCATTGTCTTCACCTGTGTCTGATTACCCCATGTCTATTTAGTCTCTGTGTTTCTTGCCCTCTGTGTCAGTTCATTGTAGTTATGTAGAATGTTAGTTGTCAGTCACGTGGTGGCGTGGTGACGGCCTAAGTGAGGTCGAAATAGATCGTAAGTTATGTCCATAACTATGGATCTATGAGACCGAACGATGACCGTCACCATCTCTTGTCGCTCAGAGCTGACTGAGGCGTTCCAGGCTAGAGGAAGTGGTGACTGCCCTGGATGCTTACATGCTTCAGGGCTATCCCCCTAAGGTCAGTCACATGACTTTGTTGTTATTTTGGTCTTGAAGATAGGTAGAAGGATGGCTTCATTCACGGTAAAGACCGTGGTGACTGTCATCGTTCGGTCTCATAGATCCATAGTTATGGACATAACTTACGTTATCCATAGGTAGGTAGCTGACATGACTGACAGATGGGCGCAGTGTAACAGTTTGTCATAAGGCTTAAAACCCGCCTCAGTTCCAGCTCTCAGCCTGTTGTTATGTTGACTGAAAGAGTGGCCCTTTCCGGAAAGTCTCAGTTCAGTGTGTACTTTTCAGTAGGGGGTTTACAGTAGACTGAACCCTTGTGGTCATTCAGAAGGCATTTTTTGGTCCACCTTGGTATACTGAACATTTCAGCATGGATCTAAACTTTTGGGATTTGTGCAGTATGGTTTGAATGCATCCTTTCAGGAAATAAATTGTATTGTAACACCCACAATGCTGTGCGAAATTAAACGTAAATCGTCCGCCTCCAAATCAAAACAAACTTTTTTTTTTTTTTAAGTTTTTTTTTATTAAACATTTCTTAAACATTTCTTGTAAATGTAAAAAAACAAATACAAAATATGGTTACATCCTGTACAGAATTGCCAAGGGAAACAGCTGTCATGTCAATAATTAACAGTACATCATTTGAACATATAGAAATGAAATGACAATGTCTTAAAGTGCAGTGAATGAGGTCTGGACTGAATATAAGAAAAAAATAAGATAAACAATTAATCAAATATACAAGGGTATATCAGTTTTCAGTTTCTATTTCATTGGGAAAGTTTCTTCAAAATTTCATAAACTGTTGGTGCTATTTTTCCTTTTACAAATGTTAAAGACTTGCGGTACAATTTAAATTCATTCAAAAAACAGACAAAATTGGGCGATGCCAAAAAAATCTATTTTTTATGTATAAAGAATTTTGCTAGCCAAATCAAAACGAACGTAGCCTTCCACCAGTGTCACCCAAATGGGGGCGTGGTCGCTCTGGTGAGCAGGAAGTTATGTTTGACTGTATCTGCATAACATCACACTGTGGCTTGTTTCTCCTCCATTTGACACTTGTCACTTTTGTTTACATGAGATTAGTGAAAGGACAGATGTAACCAAACTGGTGCTTGTGTTAACATTGCTAACTGGACAAGAAAGGAAATTGAACATGTGCATTTTTTAATGTAGACTACACTATTCCAAGATCTTTAACACTTAAAAAAAAAACTACAACCTCAAAGATTTCACATCTAGTGAGATGAGGCTGCAAAGGGAAATGTGAGAATTGTTTGATGCCAAGCTTAGTTGCATAAATTTCCCCCATGGGAGATCAATAAAGTTTATCTTTATCTTTAGTTGTTATTGCCAAATCGTATAAACTACAGTTTAAGCCACTCAGCAGGCTAATAGAATATAATGTAGAATTTCAAAATCATTTCCAGGAGTGCAGGCTATAGACCTATTGTGGATTATGATTATTTAAAGATTGAGGTTATAACTTAACATGCATGATTCTGATATTCTGTCAACTTATTAACACTATAGGCCTATAAAGCAATTTAAGTAAAAATAAGTAAACTCTTATTTGATTCTAAAACCTAAATTGACATTAGGGGTTTATGTGACTCTCATTGTCTCATAAGGAATTAAAAAAATCTTCTGCAACACAGAAGGATAAAAAAACAGGCTTTGAACCCAAGCTTTCAGAGCATAAGTCTATCCGTATGTTTTAAAAAAGTCAATTTACCATGAACTGGGCTCTCATTTCCAGTAAACCACGTGACTATGAAACGGATCAAAAGTGAAAGTGTTTTCATCAAGCACTGCAGTAGTCTATAAAAGGAAGAGCATGGTCAGCAGGTGGGTGATATCGAGGAGAGTTGCAATGCTTTAGGGTCGAGTCCTCTGTGGAATTGAAAAGAAAATTCATACATTCAAGATGTCCAGTTAGAAGTCTCTTCTACAAGGTGAGTTTTCTACCTGATATTCTTTTGTATTTTATCCATGACATAAAAGTAGATGGCTAACAGGGTCCGTGTTACTTTTTGTAACTTTGGGCTCAAAAAATAAAATAAAATCATAATCACAGTAAAGATCATTTTCATTTCTGCAATAGTGGATTTGATTATAAGCCATAAAGTCATAACTATCCAAGGTGGATTTACCACGAGCTACCTGAGTGTGAAACGAGGGTATATGTTCCTGTAGGAGACACAAGTTTGTGTGATATAAACCTCGTTTTAAGAAAATCGGGGAAAAGAACTACACTACCCAATATCAAAGAGTGTCACAGTGACGTCCCTGATTGGTGGAGCTCACTGTCACCATGGCAATGTTTCCCGCCCCTCAGTGACGTATGCTGCAGATCCGGAGAAGAAGCCCCTGGCGTAACAAAAGCCCGGGGTGCGTTCGAATTGTCCCTCCTATCTCCTTTCACTATCCACTTTACCTTAACCCCGGAAGTATTTAAGTGGCGGCCATGATAAGAGCCGTTCAAATTCTCTAAACGTTAAGGAAAGGTGGGTCAATGCTTCCTTTATAACCTCCTTTAGCATAGGATACACTGGACCATCCTTTACGAAAGGAGATGAGATATGACGCCCCACAATTCCTTGCGGCCGCAACATTTAAAGCGAGTCGCGCATCCGACCGTTCACGAACATTAACGATGATCGTAAAGTGACACAGATCATGTAAGAGATAAAAGATAAGAGACATTTTTATCAGATGATGTTTTATTCAACATATTTCATTGACTTAAGAATGCTGTGCAGTTGTACATATGCTTAAAACATTATATGTAGGTTATATCTTACATAAATGTAACAATTAATTTCATATTTATGTTGATGTTGATTTCTGATTGGACAGGAAGGTGATTGTTTCACTTTTCTTACTTGTAGCCTGGTAGTCTATATTTCTTTTATTTCAATCCCAACCTCGTGGTAATCAGGATTATTTCACCGGTAAGAAGACACGGGAAAGTTTTTTAGATAAGTTTTTTGTAGTCCATTTTCGGAACATTGTAGTTTCAACAAGGCAGACCCACGTCATTAACCTCCTCCGGCCTGTTGCATTTAATGACGTGGCCTAGTGGAAAATGTGGTCGGATTGTCAGAGCAACGAGATCACCCTTCCCTAAATCCTTTATGAATTCTCCTAACATCTTTCCTTAACCTCATAACGTTTCCCTCGGGGTTAAGGTAAAGTGGACAGTGAAAGGGGATAGGAGACACACCTAATCCGTTAAAGGCTCCTGCCCATTGTCTGTATATAATTATTTACAGTCTATGTTCCTGCCCTGTTGACGACAACATCTAGTCTCAAAATATAAAAAAAAAAGTCATTAATTGCTTGTGCTTCAAAGTGTTACGATGTTTTGATCTCAATATTAATATAAAATAATTGTGATTATGATATTTGAGATAATTGAGTAGCCCTATTCTTCATTTAAAATACATGTTGATAAATTCCAGTCTTTGTGAGAGAATGTTCTTACACACTCATTACACACACACTGATCAATGAGGGCCCTGAAGATTTGTGTGACATGTTGTGACATTCTTGGAGGGATCTGTCAGAACAATGGAAGGTTAAAGGGCAAGATGTGGTTAAGATAAAATATAGTCCTTTTTCTGCCTTGTGTTTTTGGAGTTTTAAACTTTTGTGTGTTATTTTATTCTTATTCTTACATTTTCCAAATACTTTCCCGTTTTCAGTTGAATAATAATACTTTTATTTTTTTGTAAGATGTCATATGAATGTGATGATAGTGGTGGTGGTGCAGTAGTTTCAAATGTTACACGTCATTTAAAGATGGATAAGCACAGATTTGAACTGTTAGTAGTGAAATGATGCACCTACTGTAAGTAGGCTTTATGGTTTTTAAACTCTGATAAATGTTGATTACACTTTGGTATTAAAAGTCTTGTCTCATTACTTTCAGTGAGAAGCTGTTTCAGTAATCCTACGCAGGTGTGGGCTGACTGACAGCACAAACACAATGGAGGTAAAGAACCTGTTTGTACATTTTTTAAGATACATTAGATCATATTGACATACTTCCCTATAACATAATGAATATGAGATAATGAGCAGATTTTTTCATTACAATATATTGTTTTGTCTTTAAAGGAACCCTTTGATGAAGACTTATGTGTTGAACTTTACTGTGAGGTAGAAGAAACTTCACCTACATCACGTACTGACAGCAAGGATGACTGTCGACAGAGTGATGGAAAAGGTAAAGTTCAGCTTCTTTCAATACAAAGTGAAAACAAAAAGGTCACATTTTCAGTAGCTTTAAATGAAATTATAAGTGTTTTTATCAACATCAATGTTTTTTTAACAGTACCATGTCCTTCTGTGGAGACAGTCTTTTATGTGAGCAGCGAGCAAGTTAACCAGCATGTAGTGACACCTGCTGGTGAAGTAGAGAGCTACACCATGATTTACTGCAAAGAAGGAGAAATGGACACATCCACATTAACACCAGGGGGGCAAGACTCCATCCAGGTTTCTACAGAACCAAAGAATGAACCAATATCTGAGCCTGCCTCAACATCTGAACACAGTGAGTAAAATAAAACATTGTTCTTAAGAAACAAATCATGTAATATAAGTCACCCAAATCTTCTCATGATTTTGAAGCACTCACTTTGAAAACAATGTTTTTTAGGAATAATTCTGAATAATGAGGAAACATGGATGAATTCAAACACAAACTTTAATATGAAACTGAATGAAGTCTGAGGAAAACCTCAGTTAAATCCTGCGAAATTCTTAATATCCTAATGTCTATTTTTTTCTCTCTGTATTACATCACCTTTAAATGTCAATTACTCCAGAAAAGACCAACAGTGTTCAAAAAGATTGGAGATCTGTACAGCAGATCGGCATGGTGCATTTCTGCTGCACTGTTATCAGACTTCTATCACTCTTTCTTTTTCTCTCTCTTATCATCACCTCTATCTTCTGTGTGAAAAACAAAAATCCTGTTTCTTTTAACTTCAACTCTACTCAGAGATTTAAAAACATTTAATTTATTTTACACTGTGACCATTAATTTTCCATCAGTCCACAGATCCAATGTTTCCCATTCCATAAGGATCACAAAACAACTGTGGTCCACTGTACCATATTATGACTGACACAGATTTTAGTGGCTGTACAAAGTCAATTAATGAGAGTTTTTAATGAAGGAAATTACATTTTTACCACTCAAACACAGAAGACGCAATATCAGTCTAAAAGAGATACAGCTTTTCTTTTTTAAATGTTATAATTAAACAAATTATTCTACATACTTTATACATTAGTTTGTTGAAAATGTAAATATTTGATTTGGCTTATTCCGCTTTAAGCCAAATGTAGGATGCCACTATGTGCACTGGGCAGTATTATCAGATATTTTAACATGTATACATAAATTAATTCTGTAGGTACATGAACATTGATTGGTATGTAGTGAAAATACCAAGGATTGGCTAGAATTAACAAACATGTTAATTTCCACAGAGACACAACTGGAGAGCCTATTGGAGGATCTGGGATTGAAGCATCACTTCACGGAGAAGCTCTCCCTGAGCACAATACTTCAGATTGATGAGAAGACCTGCACTGATGAACCGACCAAGTGTTATTCAGACCTGCCAGGGTATTTTCTGAAGAAAATGATGATGGTAAATGTGAAAGCTAGGAATGTAGAATTTACATCTGAATGTGAATCAGCTTGTGATACTGAATCTGATGAAACAGGGTTTGAAGATTTTGACGATTGTGATGATGGTTCTGATGCTCTGAATTCAAATAACAGGCTCAACCCGCTTGACATAATCACTGCTCTCTTTCTGTGTTCGGATGGTTTTGTACAGCAAGAAATGACTCTCAAAATGTCCATGTGTCAGTTTTCTGTGCCTCTTCTGCTTCCTAATTGTGACACAAAGCAGTGCTCACTGATGCTCTGGGCCATGAGAGACATAGTTAAAAAGTACAGACCTTTGTCACTTTCAGAATCCAAGGGCTTTATTGAAGACAGAATTGTTGTCTCTAAACTTCCAATGGTTTCTTTTGTGAGACTGGGTGAGTGCTCCTTGTCCAAGTCAGAGACCCTCAATAAGCTTCTGAGCAGTTCCCAGCAGAACCATGACATCTTTGTTCACAGGAACATGACAAATGGTGACTGTCCAAGACGAATATCTAATGGACTGACTGAAATTACCTGGTACCTACCTTGTGGAAACAAAAACATGGATGTTTTTTGTGAGCCGGTAGCTGTAGCTAACCTTCGTGGGGACATTGCTTCATTTGAAACGCAGTTTTCTTTTTTGTGTCACACGTCAGCAGCAGTGTTTGTATTCTTTGACAGTTTGGACTCTGAGTGCAAAATTCTTTCAAACCAACATCACAAGGCCCAGATCTTCTTGGTTGGTAATCGTCAAAGCCAGGAATTCAGTATGGATGCTGTGAAGAAGGTGGCAAAGAAGCTGAATCTGACTAAAAGCAACATCCTTTTGAAGGACAAACAAATGAATGATGCAACCTTTGTCAAAAATCTACACAAAACAGTCAAACATGTTGTGGAGAACACAAACGTGAAGATGCAAATTGAGCAGATGGCTGACATTGCTCATGAATTGCGAGTCTTGGTTGATGAAGATTGTCCAGAGTGCCAGACTGCAAAGACAAATGCAGATGCCATCACTGCAGAAATTCAAGATATCCCAAAATACAAAGATGCTCAGCTGCCCAAGCAGGGCGAAATATGGAAGAAACTGACTTGCTTGGAGAAGGAAGAGTTTCGACTTCGTAATGTTGGGTCTAAAAACATAGAAATGTACAAAAGTGATCTTCAGAAAGAAAAAGAAACACTCCGGAAAGAGCAGAACTCGGATGATATATCTGAAGCAATGACATGTTTCATCAGCGCAATATTTAGACCAAGTATTGAGAGGAGTTATTTCCTAAAATGGATGCGAATGAACCTTGATAATCTGTCTCGACAGAAACTGTCTGGACTCAGAGAGGCATACAAAAACAAAACGAAAAGTTCTGAAAACAAGGAGGAAATCAAAGAAATTGACCGGCAACTTTCTAACAGCTCACTTGGGATTGAACACTTCTTCCGTGAGATGGGTCAGATTTACGAAGCTTCAGTTTCCCTTCCAGAAACAAATCCGTCACGCCAACAGTTCAAACATCTGCCCAGACTATGTGCAGAGTTGTTGCTTGATGGATTTCCCCTTGAGCTTGTAGATGGTGATGCATCTAATATACCTCTCAGATGGGTGACTGATGTTCTGTCTCGGCTCAATGACTTGGTGTCTCCAAAGAGCAAGATAGTGGTAGTCACAGTTCTTGGAGTTCAAAGTACAGGGAAGTCGACTCTCCTAAACACCATGTTTGGAGTTCAGTTTGCAGTCAGCAGTGGTCGGTGCACTCGAGGTGCCTTTATGTTGCTTATCAAGTAAATGAAAATGTCAAAAAAGAACTCAGCTGTGACTTCATGGTGATCATTGACACTGAGGGGTTAAAGTCACCAGAGCTTGCACAGCTAGACAATAGCTATGAGCATGACAACGAGCTTGCAACACTTGTTGTGGGGTTGAGTGATATCACTATCATCAATATTGCAATGGAGAATTCAACAGAAATGAAGGACATCCTACAGATAGTTGTGCATGCATTTCTCAGGATGAAAGAGGTGGGCAAAAAACCTAGATGTCAGTTTGTTCACCAAAATGTGGCAGATGTTTCTGCCCCTGAGAAGAACTTACGAGAAAGAGAACTGCTCCTAGAACAGTTGAATGAGATGACCCAAGCAGCAGCCAGAATGGAAAAGAAGGAGGAAAACAAGAGCTTCACTGATGTGATGGAGTACAATCCAGCCACTGGAAACTGGTACATCCCAGGACTCTGGAATGGAAGCCCCACAATGGCACCAGTTAATGCAGGGTACAGTGAGGCCGTTTATGAGCTCAAGAAGAATGTAATCCAGATTTTGGGAAAATGTGAGTCTTCTGCTAATGATATCTTGGAGTTTACAGAGTGGATAAGAAGCCTGTGGAATGCTGTCAAGCATGAAAACTTCATCTTCAGCTTCAGAAACAGCCTGGTGGCTGATGCATACATGAGGCTCTGCACAGAATTCAACAAATGGGAATGGGCATTCAAGAAAAAAATGTACTCATGGACAAACGATGCAGAAATCAAGATTTATAACTTTGGCAGCGTGGAATGTGAAGTGTCTGACATTGGACAACTTCTCACTGATTTGAAAAGTGACGCATGTTTAGTACTGACTGAATGGGAGACAAAGCTTCTTGAAAATCTAGACAAGTACTTCAAACAAACAGAGGGTCATGTCAATCTTGTTGAAGCATACAGAGAGGACTTTGCTAACAGTGCTAAAAGCCTTCGTCGAGAAATGGAAAGCTCTGTACATAACCAACTCACAGTTGCAACAGATGTCCGAAAGGGAATGACGGAGATTGATAAAATCAAGGTGAACCACACAAAAGAATTAGAAAAGAGAGTAGGTGCATTGATTGAAGAATGCCGCAAGAAAAAAGTGGACATGACAGACCAAAACCTGGATGAAGAATTTGACAAGATGTGGAATAAAATGGTAAAGGAACAAGATCTTTACAAACAAGAGACCGTGGATGTCATGGGGAATGTGTCCAAATGCCTGAGAAACAATCTATCACGCAAGGGGAGTCATGCATGTGAATTATTAGATCAAAAAAGACTGCAAGATTGTGGAAAGGTGCCTTTCAAAGTCTCATCTGAAGGATTAATCAACTGGGCATGTAAAAAAATTAGCAAGTACTTCAACTGGGAAGACCACGTCATGGTGCTACAACAAATAGCTGACGATATTATATTGGGATGTTCACAGTTTGTGAAAGAAAAAAGGAAAGAATAAACAAAAACAACTACCACAACACTTTCATCCAGGAGATCCTACACATGATTGATGAGAGTCTGAAGAATAAAGAAAACAAGAATGTCAAGATTGAGATAGAATTTGAGGTTTCTCTGAAACAACACATCTGTGCAGTTGCCGCTCGAGCTTTTCAGGAAATGCATGAAGATTTCATTCAGCTGAGTGATCCCCACATTTGTCTCAGTCTAAACAAAAATAGGTTCTGTGTAAATTTCAAGGATGAATTCCATGAACGAGATCAGTGCCAAAAGAACGCAAAAGATTTCACAGATGACTGCTTGAGGCCTGCT